TTGAACCCGAGAGTTTGAAATGGACCTGCTCCTGCTCCAAGAATAAAAGCTCCAGGTAGCTTGATTTCTTTTGCAATTTTATTCAGATCATAAACCTGTAGAAGAGGAAAAAATATTATTTAAATCATAACCTGACCAAGTCCCTGGTTTATCTTTTATTACTGGTCCATTAGCACTTCCTTGCCAATTAAGCAACAGGTCCTCTAATAATAAACAGGGTAATCAATCCAACTTCTACAATCTTCAAGCGAACATGCAGAGTAAAAGTACTTACTTTTTTTTGGTTTACAAGAGGCAATAAGTAAGGCACACCTCCTACTTCTGCAATTCTAGTTTTCCCACAGATGCCTTAAAAAAGAAAAAAACACAAGCCATCTAAAAAATTGGCAAACATCTAATTTAATAATAAAATGTGAGAAGACATGAATTTAATTTATTAACAGTACGTAACTTCTCCATTCTCGTAGAGTTTTCCCAATATTCAGGGACTGGAAAATATAAGTAGCTAGAACCCCTGTCCTATTTTAACTACCTGTGTCTCTAATATCATCATAACCAAGCATGGCTTATATAGTTGGTGGCATAAAAGCAATACAAGGCAAGGGCAAGGGTTAGAACTGGGGCCAAAAGTTTGGATTGGGTGAGGTTTGCAGAATGTCTTTAATGCCTTATTTCTTTAAAAAAATGTATTTTTTTTTGGTTAAATTGTTTTTTGTTTTTTAATTTAAAATATTTTGCTCTGACAGAATGTAAATTCTTAGGCCAGGTGCAGTGGCTCAGACTTGTAATCCAAGCACTTTCGGAGGCTGAGGCGGGAGTATCACTTGAGGTCAGGAGTTTGAGACGAGCCTGGCCAACATGGCGAAACCCAGTCTCTCCCAAGAACACAAAAATTAGCTGGGTGTGGTGGCGTGCACCTGTAGTTCTAGCTACCTGGGGGGCTGAGGCAGAAGAACTGCTTAAACCTGGGAGGTGGAGGTGGTGGGCTGAGGGTGAAATCACACCACTGCACTCCAGCCTGGGCAACAGAGTGAGATCGTCTTAAAAAACAAAACAAGCTGGGCGTGGTGGCTCATGCCTGTAATCCCAGCACTTTGGGAGGCTGAGGCAGGTAGATCGCCTAAAGTCAGGAGTTCAAGACCAGCCTGGCCAACATGATGAAACTCAGCCTCTACTAAAAATGCAAAAATTAGCCAGGTGACATGGTGCACGCCTGTAATCCCAGCTACTCAGGAGGCTGAGGCAGGAGGATCTCTCGAACTTGGGTGGGGGCGGACACTGCAGTGAGCCAAGATCACGCCACTGCACTCCAGCCTGGACAACAGAGTGACTCTGTCTCAGAAAACAAAATGAAACAAAATAACCCAGAGAGATCTAGGTGAGACGCACAAATTTCAAAGTTGTATTCAGGTAGTAATTAAAACCAAAAAAGTAAATTAAAAAAAAAAAAACAACAGATATATTATCAAAAATAAGAAAAGGCTAAGGAAATAATTCTGGAAAGCATCAACATTTAAAAGCCTATTAGAAAGAAAAAGCAATCAAGAAAAATATGGAAGAAAGGAGGAAGGAAAGGTACCAAGGAAGAAGAGGTGAAACAAGGATAGAGGAGATAGAACCTAGGGGAGAAAGTCAGGCAGCAATTGCCAAACAGTATGAAGTATACAGAGAGGTGAAATAATGCTAGTAAAACATTTTAAGGTCATTGGTGCTCCTAGCCAGACCAGTTCATGTAGAAAATGTCGAACGCACCACCACACCCAGCTAATTTTTTTTTAAAGTAGAGATGGGGTTTTACCATGTTGGCCAGGCTGGTCTTGAACGCCTAACTACGTTTATGAAAGATCATACATACACATATTAGATACATATCTGCCTTCTAGTATTGCAACTTAAAGACTCACAAGTTATTGACCGGAAAACACTTTTTCAAAGTATAACTCTGCATGACAGAATTAAAACTAACAATTTTGGCCAGGTGTGGTAGCTCACACTTGTCATCACAGCACTTTGGGAGGCTGAGGCGGGTGGATCACTTGAGGTTGGGAGTTGAGCCTGACCAACATGATGAAACACCCTCTCTACTAAAAATACAAAAATTAGCCAGCCATCATGGTGCACGCCTGTAATCCCAGCTACTTGGGAGGCTGATGTATGAGAATCGCTTAAACCCAGGAGGCAGAGGTTGCAGTGAGCCAAGATCATGCCACTGTACTCCACAATCCAGCCTGGGTGACACAGCAAGACTAAAAAAAAAAAAAGAAAAAAGATTAATAATTTTTTTTCTTCTTTCTTGTATTTTTCTGTTTCCTGACCTTGATTTAATTTTAATTAATTACTTAATTAGCAGGGGAAATATTATTACTCTCATATTTAAAAAAAACTTTAAAAATGTATTATGCTAAATGCTTTCAAGAAGTTAAAAGAAATTGCCATATGGTACACAAGCCTTCTAGAATTTACAGCTCTACTTAAAATCAAAGATTGTTTATGCTGGAAAGACCTCCAAAGAACATTCAATTCAAATCTCCCCATGTATCTCAAAGTCAGATATGTTAAGACAGAACTAGAGGCCAGAATTTCTATGTAAACTCCTTTTTTTTTTGAGACAGAGTTTCACTCATGTTACCCAGGCTGGAGTGCAATGGCGCGATCTCGGCTCACCGCAACCTCCACCTCCTGGGTTCGGGCAATTCTCCTACCTCAGCCTCCTGAGTAGCTGGGATTACAGGCACGCACCACCATGCCCAGCTAATTTTTTGTATTTTTAGTAGAGACGGGGTTTCACCATGTTGACCAGGATGGTCTCGATCTCTTGACCTCGTGATCCACCCGCCTCGGCCTCCCAAAGTGCTGGGATTACAGGCTTGAGCCACCGCGCCCGGCCTGTAAACTCCTTTTTAGCAAATATATCAATTGAATAATAAAAAGAACACTTTGAGTATTTATCCTCAAATTCCTCATCATAGTAGGGTATAATGGGAGAAGGTTAGACTTTGGAAACAGACAGACTTGCATTTGAATCCTGATTATGATGTACACTGAGCTTACCTAGCCTCTCTAAGCTTCAGTTTTCTCATCTGCAAACCATGGTTACTACTCATCTTGCAGTGTTATTGTAAAAACTAAAACATTAAATAATTATCTATCACACTGACAAATTATTTTATTCTACTAATACTAATTTCCCTTCCTTCTCACTTCAAACAGTGGACGCTCACTTGGCAAATTTGTTGAAGGGTTAGTTTTAAAAGATTATTCAAATACAAGGCTTTTAGGATCCCTTCTGGTCCTGAAAAAATAAAATCATAAAAATTAAAATCAGTTTCCATAATAGTCTGAGCAATTAAAAGCAAAACTCTCATGTGATATAAAGAATTTTAACTTGTTGGATACGTATCCTATATTCTGTGAAGGTTATATAAGGGCATAAAACACAATCTTTTTCCATAAGAGTATGAAATGAAATTTAATCAATATCAGAAGAGTAAGCCCAGAAATTTAGCACAATTTAGCCTAAATATTGTGAGTGACAATATCCTTTATTTGTAGATAATTTAAGATGTCCTTAAAAATAATTCTAGTTTCAAAAAAGGATTACAACTAAAAAACAAAAGCTAATTGCAAAAATTGCTTACCTTTTACAGGAAAGGTAAAGGGTTCCTTAGTCAAATCAGGGCAATCAACTACAGAGACCTGGACATCAGCAAAGTTATCTTTTAACCCCATCTGCATAACTAATAAAGACAAGGAATAAGATTAACCTCATGTAAAAACTTGGCTACCACATATCTAAAGTGCCCTCAACACACTTCCCACCTCAACTTGTATAATAAAAAAGGGGAAAATGGTCTTATTAATGAATATAATTAGACATCAGACATAATCACAAGGTATAATGTAGACTAAGATACGTGAATACTTTACAGTGATTTCCAATTGTTGAAGATAAATAGACTGCACTTGTGTGAGGGTGAGGATTACCTTTGTTTTTGAAAAAAGATTCCAAAAACCAACTGAAGTGCAGACATTTAAACTTTTTAAAAAGTAAGCAATCACACGTAACAACTTCAATGAAGGTAACAGACAAAATGTTGAGCAAAGCAGCCAGACACAAAAGACTTCACCTTATGAATATTACTTCACCTTATGCATCTCAAAAACAGGCAATGGATCAAGCCTGATTGGGGAGGTGTGCAAAGGAGTCTTCTGGGATGTTGGAAATATTTTACATTTTGATCTGGATAGTAGTTACATAGGTGTAAACACTGATAACATTCATCAAGCTGTACACTCAAAATTAGGGTATTTTACTGTAGATAGTTATACCTCAATAACAATGTAAAAAAGCACAGATGTCTCAAAGTTATTAACGTAAGACCAATGTATTTCCCCCTCTCTCTCTTTTATTTGTAGAGACCAGGTCTTGCTATATTGCCCAGCCAGTCTCGAACTCCTGGGCTCAGTGATCTTCCTATCTTGGGTCTCCCAAAGTGCAGGGGGATTAAAATGAGCCATCACACCCAGCCTCAATGTATTTATTTATTTATTATTTGAGACAGAGTCCCACTCTGATAGCCTCATCCTGTCACCCAGACTGGAGTGCACTGGTACCCAGCATGATCTTGGCTCACTCAACCTTGATCTCCAGGCTCAAGAAATCCTCCCAGCCGGGCGCGGTGGCTCAAGCCTGTAATCCCAGCACTTTGGGAGGCCGAGGCGGGTGGATCACGAGGTCAAGAGATCGAGACCATCCTGGTCAAC